CAGTTTTTTAAAATATATTTTATTGATTTTTTTACAGAGAGAAAGGGAGAGGGATAGAGAGTTAGAAACATTGGTGAGAGAGAAACATCGGTCAGCTGCCTTCTGCACACTCCCTACTAGGGATGTGCCCGCAACCAAGTTACACGCCCTTGACCGGAATTGAACCTGGGACCCTTGAGTCCTCAGGCCGAGGCTCTATCCACTGAGCCAAACTGGTTAGGGCTTTCATTCAGTTTTAACACCAACAGGTGCCTCTCCAAAAGATAGCCGAGTCTGTCTCTCTCCTTTCCTTTTTTTCTTTTCTTTTTGCACTCGAGCATATTTAACTTTTCATTGCACATACAGAAAAGTGCACATATTATAAGTGGACACTTGGAAGAATTTTCACAAATGGAACGCATTTCTGTAAGCACCACTCAAGTCCAGAAACAAAACATTCTCAGCTTCCACCCAGAACAGGGCAATGGGAGGAGGAGTGTGGAGGAATTGGTGGGCCTATGTTAAAATGATCATAAAAATACCAAAAATGGATAAATCCTTTGGCTGAGATACGTTGAGGCCCTGCAGAGGCCCTGTTTCCCATTAAAGTTCACCCATTGCTTTTCTCTTCATTGGTGGAAGGTGTGTGTATGGAAATTATTACTGTGATGTTTGTTTACTAGTAATTTTTCATTTATCTCATTCCTTCTACATTTACTATTATTTATTACTAGCGGCCCAGTGCACAAAATCGTGCACTGGGGAGTGCACAGGGAGTGGGGGGAGGGGAGGGGCCCCTCAGCCAGGCCTGCACCCTCTCGCATTCTGGGACTGCTCAGGGGATGTCCAACTGTTGGTGTGGGCCCAATCCTCAGGGATCCCCTAACCACTCCGCCTGCCTGCCTGATCGCCCCCTAACCACTCTGCCTGCCTTCCTGATCGCCTCTACCACTCGCCTGCCTGCCTGATCACCCCTAACTGGTCACCTGCCTGCCTGATCATCCCTAACTACCTCTGCCTCAGCCCAAGCTGCTATGGCTTTGTCCGAAGGACATCCAGAATGACCTTCGTAAGGTCGTTTGGCTGTCTGGTCTAATTAGCATATTACACTTTTATTATTATAGATTCGAAATTCTTCTGTAAGGGAGAGTTATTCTGTCTCCATTAATTTGTTTATTTAATTGCTTCTTTATACCCATTTGGATTCATTAACAGTTATTTTATTGGTTTCAGAGAGGAAGGGAGAGGGAGAGAAAGATAGAAACATCAATGATGAAAGAGAATCATTGATTGGCTGCTTCCTGCATGCCCCTACGGGGGATCGAGACTGCAACCAGGGCATGTGCCCTTGACCTGAATCAAACCTGGGACCATTCAGTCCACAGGCCAACGATCTATCCACTGAGCCAAAACAGCTAGGACTTTGAACAGTTATTTTAGTCTTTGAGTTATAATCTATACTATTGTTATTTATTTTGTTGCCCAAATTGTTCCAGCTTTGGCTACTGGGAGCTCTTTCAGTTGGCCCTGCTGTAAGCATTTTATTTCGGGCACTATTCTTTTGAGACGACTCAGTTGTTTGTTTGTTTTGTTTCTTACTTTCTACACCACAAAATGTTTCAGGATCATCTTGTGTTTTCGCCACCCCAGTTCTAGAATCAACCAAGGCGCCTGGGTTCCTTTACTGCAGAAGGGCATTGGGAAACCAAGGCCTGGGTGCTGGGTGTGCACATTGCTGCTGGGGATGGGGGCATTGCTTCTAAACCCTCTCAGCTGATAGCATTATTTTTTTGAATCCTCACCCAAGGATATGTTTATTGATTTTAGAGAGAGGAAGGAAGAGAGAGAGGAACATGAATGTGAGAAATATCGATTGGTTGTCTCCTGCATGTGCCCCGACTGGGGATAGAACCCGAAACCCAGGTATGTGCCCTGACCTAGAATCAAACCCACAAGTTTTTGATGCATGGGACAATGCTCCAACCAACCAAGCCACCTGACCAGGGCACTTATTTTTTTTACATATTGAGGTAAAATTCATATAAAATAAAATGAACCATTTTAAACATTACATGTGCATTGCTGGCGCACACATTCAGAGCAGAAGTATTCAAAACAGCCAAAAAGCAGAAACAAACCAAATGTCCATCACCGGATGAAACAAATGTGGTCCATCCTGTTAGGTGTCTTGGGCCGGTGATTCGGGCTGTGAAAGAATTAACAAATGAGAGAAGAGATAGATGATAGATAGATAGATAGATAGATAGATAGATAGATAGATAGATAGATAGATAGATAGATGAGATACTGGTAAAGAGAGAGAGAGAGAGAGAGAGAGAGAGAGAGAGAGAGAGACTTTATTTTACTTTACCTGAAGGGAAAGGGCCAGTGCATTGCTAATCAATACAAAAGGCAAAAAACAAAATCTTCTCCAGCATTTAAAGCCTTCTTGCTACTGCTAGGTGACAAGGAAGGGGGTGGTATTTTTAGGCTGGAGTTGAGCAGACATCAATGGAGCTGTCATTGAAAAGTGTGTTAGTGTTTCAGGAGACAATCCAGGCAGATGTCTTAAGGAGGTGTCTTATCAGTATTTTTCCAAAGCCTGTAAAACATTCTTAAAGAAAAAGTTATGAAGAGTTCAAAAGAGGCTTGTTTGAAGAGGAGCAGGGAAGGGAACTTTCTACTAATTATGCCTGGGTTGTAAACCAGCAGGGAGTAGGTATTGGAAGAATGTAGCCTTGACAGTAACTTATTTTGTTTTGCAGTTTGAACAGAGGGGCTGTTTCAACCAGAGGAGCTAACCATCTTGGGGTTTAATTACCAGGTGCTTCTCATAAATTGTGGAAGGCTACAGCAAAGAAAAAGAAAGGCCTTTTTTTCCATTTGAACACATTCATACAATGGACTATTACTCAGCCATAAAAAGGAAAGAAGTTCTGATACACGCTACTATGTGGATGCATCTCAAAAAACATGATGCTGAGTGAGAGAAGCCAGACACAAAAGGTCACATATTGTATGATTGCATTGATATGAAATGTCCAGAATAGGCAAATCCACAAAGACAGAAAGGCCAGTGGTTGTCAAGGGTTGGGTGGAGGGAGGAATGGGGAGGAATTGCTACTGAGTATCCTTTTTGATGGAAATGTTTTGGAACTAGACAGAGGTGATAGTTGTATAGCATTGTGAATTGTGAATTTTAACGTGGTTAACTTTAGTTATATAAATTTCGATATTTAAAAACCAGTGATGATGATGGGCAGAGTTGAGTTTGAATCCCATCTCTATTTCCTGCTGTGTGACCTTGGGCAACTCAACCTCTTGTGCCTTGGTTTGCCTCCTTATAAAA